ATATACGTATATATACATTACATATATAAACATATATATACATATATATAAATTATATACACATACGTATTATACATATACTATATATATATATATATATATTTATATATATATATATATATACACATATATATATTCATATATAAACACATATATACACATAAAGGCACACACACACACACACACACACACCACACACACACACACACACACACACACCACACACACAACACATATATATATATATATATATATATATATATATATATATATATATATTATATATTTATATATTTATATATTATATATTATATATATTTATTATATTATATATATATATATATATATTATATTATTATATGTGTTTGTGTTGTGTGTGTGTGTGTGTGTGTGTGTGTGTGTGTGTGTGGTGTGTGTGTGTGTGTGTGTGTGTGTGTGTGTGTACATATAGATATATTAATATATATTTACACATATATGTACATCTTTACATACATTACATACATACATACATACATACATAATATATTATATATATATATATATATATATATATAATATATTAACATATCATACATACATACATACATACATTACTCATATAATACATATATATATACATACATACATATAATATACATATATATATATATATATATGCATATATTACATTATATTATATATATATATACTATATATATATATATATTTATTTTATATATATATTATATATATTATTATATATACATATTCATACATATATATACACATATAGATACATATTATATATACATATATATATATATAATATATATATATATATGTTTATATTATATATATATATATATCATTCTATTATATATATTCATACACACATTATATACATATATTATACTTGCATATACTATTATATATAATATATATATAATATATTAGATAGATTAGATAGTAGATAGATAGATAGATAGATAGATAGATAGATAGATAGTAGATAGATAATTATAATTACATATATATAATTATATAATATAATACATATAATATATATATATATTCATACTAATATATATATACTTGCATATACATTATATATACATATATATATATATATATATAGATATGATAGATAGATAGATAGATAGATAGATAGATAGATAGATTAAGATGATAGATAGATAGATAGATAGATATAGATAGATATATAGATATATATATAGATATACATATATATATAAATTACATAATATATATATTATATATATATATATATATGATATTCATAAATAAACACATATACATATAATATAATATAGAAATATAATATATATATATATATATATATATATATATATATATATATTATATATACATATACACACATATATTCACATATATATTTACACACATATATGTACATATATACAAACATATATGTTACAAAATAAATGTAACATACCAAACGGAAAAAAAAAAACAAAACCCAAAATAAGACGAACGCAAATCACACACACCACAACACAAAAAAAAAACACAAAATACAAATCTAAAAAATAATACAACACACACACACACACACACAAATACAAATCTAAAAAAAAAAAATAATAATAATAATAAAAAAAAAAATACCCAACACTAATCGCCAAAAGTGCATTCCCGTCCCGCCACACTCTCGGTGCCGGGTTCAATCGCGTCAGGGAGCTGGGCTGTTTCGTAACGTTTATTATCATGTCTAAAATATCCGAAATGTGCGTCTTAAAACAGCGCCAAGAACGTGCGCTTCAGGAAGGGGGGGGGGAGGAAGGAAAAATGCAGATGAGAAGAAGGAGGAGGGAGAGGAGAGAGGGGAAAAGAGGGGAAGGGGAGATAAGAGAGAAGGAGGGGAGAGGGGAGAGAGAGAGAGGAGGTGGGAGAGGGGAGAGGAGAGAAGGTGGGAGAGGGAGAGGGAGGAGGGAGGAGGGAGAGGGAAAGAGGAGGGAGAGGGGGAGATAAGAGAGGAGGAGGAGGGAGAGGAGAGGAGGAGAGAAGATAAGAGAATATAGAGAGGATAGAAATAAGAGGGGGAGAAGAGAAAAAGGAGGTAGAGGGGAGAGGAGAGAAAGAAGAGGGAGAGGGAAGAGGAGAGAAAGAGTAAAGAGAAGGGGGAGAGAGGAGAGTAAGAAGAGGGGGAGGAGAGAAAGAGGGATAGGTGAGAGAAGAATAAGAAGAAGGATGGGGAGAGGAGAGAAAGAGGAAGAAGAGAGGAGATAAAGAGGATAGAAAAAGAGATAGAAATACTGAAAAAAAGAAAAGGGAGGGTGAAAGAGGGAAAGAGAAACAAAGGAAAAGTTGAGAGAAAGAACAGGCAGAGAGAGAGGAGAAAAAAAGACGAAAGGGTAGAGACAGAAAAACGAAAAAGAAAAGAAACACACGGCAGAAAAAAGAAAAACAACATCATAAAGCTGAAATAATAAAAAAAAAGACAACGAAAAAGCGAAAGAGAAAAAAAAGTAAGAACCCAGAAAGGTCACTATTAAATACCATCGACAATACCCATAAAGATCGTAATAATCAGGGTGACCTTTTCAGCGAGTTCGTCTTCATATCAGGTACAGCCGAGAACCTATTTAGACTCAGCGTTCACACAAAGGCTGGTCTATGAACAAAATGATTGGAATCGCGTCGCCAATCTGTTCATCACTGAGAGCGTATTTGGAGTGGCGTAGAAAAATAATAATAATATAATAATAATAATAATAACTTAAGTAACAACTGTAACAACAACAACAAAAACAATAATAGTGATAATAACGATAATGATAATGATTATAATGATGATGATGATAATAATAATGATGCTGGTAATGTTTATAATAATGATGCTGATAATGATAATAATAATAATAATAATAACAATAATAATAATAATAATATTAATAATAATAATAACAATAATTACCGTTCATTGAGAGCGTACTTGGTCAGACGTAGATTTTTTTTTTTTTTAACAACCCTAGCATTCCCATAAACGAACGTAAGTAAATACGTTGTTTAAGAGCGTCCCTTAATACTTGGTTTGTGGAGAGCGAAGTTTGTATTCTCTCGTTTACAAGGGATACGATAAGCGGATTACTGTAGCGATCCCTTGCGCTGGTTATTAAGTAAAGGGTTTATGCCCAAACCACCGACTCGTCTCCTTTAAAGCACGAACCGTGGCGAGGACCTTCAAAACATCGAAAAGAAAACACAAGGGGAAAGAAAGGAAGGAAGAAAAAGAAAATGAAAAGAAGAAAGAAAGAAAATGGGAAAAGAAAAAAATATGAAAAAAAATAAAAAAATAAAAAGAAAAAAGAAAAAAAGGAAAAAAACGGTCTTGAAGACAAAAATACAGGAGACAATATCCACCCCCCCCCAAAAAAAAAAAAAAAAAAAAATACGGCTACCGAGTGAGAAACTTTTGTGCAAACGCGCTCCTTCTCCCTCCGACAATGAGCCCTCAAAATGCTGACGGTCCGCAGGGAGTCAGCGCGGGCCAGAAAGTGTCCCTGACGCCAGCGCGAACAGGGGTCCGAAGCAGGTGTCCCCGTGAGAGAAAATCGAGCTGCCATTGCAACATCCGAAGCGACTTTTCCAATACCGACAGAAACCCTTTCCTCGTCGGGCTGCCATTAACACTACGAGATATATTAGGCTCCAGTAACGCTTCTGTTATGACTAAGGTTCGATAACTTTCCCAGTAATGGGCTTTCTATTTATGCCTCTGTGAGTACGATCATAGTAATATTTTGTAATAACCGGGCACACTTTAACACTTCAAGTCACAACTGGGCATCGATGAACAACAGAACAAACGACATTATTCCCGATACAAAAAAGAAAAAAGAACAACAAAAAAACGCATATCGTTCGCAAAGATAACACGTGAGCCATAGCGCTGTTTGCTTTGCCTTCAAGGTTACGCAACAATGGACCCACGTCGATGTTGATTCCCCCTCTCCTATAACACAGGGGGGGTGAATCTGCAAGTCAATTGATACACGGAAGTTTACACGTGAAACACTTGGCGAGGCAAGCAAAAATACACACACAAAAACACACACGAAAAAAACAGGATCGGGAAGGTTTATATTGATAGGATCTACGGTTCGTAATTATGAAGCCAAGGGTGAGTCAGTGCTTCGCTTCGGCTGCCTCCAGAAGCAATCAGTTCCGCTATCAAAACGCCAGAGATCAGCAAGAGGAAACACAGATCGCCAACACGATGAGTCAATCCAAACAAAAGTGCCACAGATCACGTGACAGTTGTTCACAGGTGGCGAACCTTCTTGTCCCTTTTTTGTTCGTCGTTATTGTGATGAACTTTAAAAAAGGAGACGTGTTTTAAACGGTGCAATTTGGAAATGACTAATTTTCGTTTTAGCGTCACTGTATGATAAAGTAGTTGTCAATAATTAATTAATGTTTTGTAAATAGGCCTACGGTATTATCGCGACAGAAAGAGAAACTGCATTATATCTGCTAAAATCACGTTCGTTAAGAAGATTGTGTCCATCAATATGCATACACAATTTGCGACTGGGTGTTCAGTGTTACACCAAAATGCAAAATTCATCGCTATGTATTTTTCATGTTGGCTGAAGCGTTTACCTTTGTTGTGGAGTTTGCTTCGCTGGGAAAATGTCCCTTTTTCACGAACGAAGAATTTCTTTGGTTAATAGAAGTTCCGTTTGTCCTTGCTTAGCTGTCCAATTGCGATGTCCACATTTCACCAGTTTTTATCAATTCAATAAACACCCTTTCACACATATTCCTTCGGCGAATCAATGCAAATACAACATTCTTTTAAGACTGCTGCAGTTCGGTTCAATATCGCAAAATAGCACTTTGACACGAACTCCTAAAATTAGAACCACCCGCACCCAAAGCTCAATCACTCACGAAACACTTCATAAAGCACTTTTATTTACACGTCAATGAAACACTTGTCTGTTACGAGGAGACTGAGCAACACCCTCGCTCACCCTTCAAGCCAGCACACTCCCCTCGGTACACTGGCAACACCGCGTCCAC